CGTTCTTTATAAGCTGATGCTAAACGTTCAAATGGATGACGAACAAATATTGTACGAGTAAATGATGAAGAAAAAATTTGAGATAAACTTGAAAGATTTTGAAGACGAAAATATGGAAATGAATATGTAAAACTAAGTCTCCAAGGATTAATTAATCGTGATGGAAAATTTTTATTAATTTGACCAAATTGAAGAATATTTAAATACATATGAAGAAATTCTAACAAAGATTTTGGTTTTTCTTGTTTAGGAATTATGACTCCATGCTAAAGTAAGAAAAAGAATGAATAAATAAAATAAATCATTAATATTTCTTACAGCTCGAAGTTCTTCAATAAATTTAGAAATATTTATCGTTCTTTCTATTTTCGCTTTAGTATTATCAATATTTGTCCAATTATTATTCAGATTATTAATTAAATCACGTACATGAATATAAAGTATAACATTGAGAAGAGTTTTTGTTGCTACTTTCGGTACAGGACAATACATTAATGATTGAGATTGTAATACAAGTGATATCATATTTATTAATTCATTTGAACGAACTGGAATATGATCAAAAAAAGACATATCTTTTGGACATTTTTTAAAATAAGTTGAATTATCTGTTGTACTAATTGATAAATTTGAATTGATTTTGATTGCTTGAGATAATTCGTAATCGATTTTTTTATTTGTATGTAAAACATCTGTTCGATGATATTGAAATATTGTTAACAAACTTAAAAAAATAATCATTAAGAAAGAATATTTTTTTAAATAAATAAAATAAAATGTTGAATTAAGGATGATTTTTAGACACATTTATAAGATTCTAAAATATAAAAAATAGGGTGGTTTTATGTCTTCGTGCATAAGAAATTTGTTGTTCTCTTTTTTTTTGAAAAGTTTTATTATTTACAAAGAATAGCTTATTCGATACTTCATCTTTTCAAAATAAACAAAAATCTGCGCAGGTAATTGTCACATGTTATGAATTAAAGAGAATCAGTTTTTTGTTCAAAAATGAATGTTGTAGAATTTTATTCATTTTGAAATATAACGACCGAATCAGTTGTGTTCCGTATGTATTAGGTTTCTTTTCACCTTCTTAGGAAAAAAATTGGTAACCACTGTAGATTAACTCCTATTAGGTTTGATAGTCTAATCTGAATTAAATTGACCTTATTAATAATTTTAAGGAATATGAACAGTACGATGAATTTATGTGTAAGAGTGTTTTTTGTCGTTCTCTTTTCATCAGTCTTCTATTATTATTACAGAAATTTATAATGTCTTCAAACATTCATGGCAAAATAAGAAAAAAGTACATTTTATTTTATTATAGGACAAGAAATTTTTAGTTAAAAATAGAATAAATTCACAAAGAGCATTTACAGAGAAGAAAAAAAGACTCAAAAAAATATTATAATCGAGAAATATTGAACTCATTTATTGAACGCTGGATGTGGACGGGAATATGAATAATAGATGATCATAATACTGTCACCTTCAACCATACCCTTATGATATTTTTATTGGTAGCAGAAGCTTCCTGTTTTGTCTAGATGATATTATGACATAGAAGTAGAGAAAGAAGATTTTTTGAAATTGCTATACTCTATCAAATGAAGCATCTTTTTAAGTTCTTAATTATATGATCTGTTAATTGAGATGTTCCAGATTTTACGAAAATTACGCGAATTATTATTAGAATTTTTATCAAGTAAAAATGAATATATATGAATTAGCTGTCGTTATTTTTGGTGTGATCCAACATTTTAAAGTATATCATCATAACATCGTCTTTTTGCTTTACTTGATCAATTATATTGAATAGAAAATAAAAATGAATATTTTAATTATTCAACAAATTTTCTTCTTGAACATACAACAATACATAATTTTGATTACAATCATTTTATATTCGAAAATTTACTTGATAAACGTATATTTCAAGAATTTATATTAACATGTAATTGATGTCAACGTCATCATACATATATGAGATTATATATCTCTTTATTACAATTTGTAATCATTATAAATATGTTCTCTAATTGATGATCAATGAAGTTTCGACATGGGTGTATCATATCTTTTTTTGTTATGTCAGAAAAATTGATGATAAAAAATATTTGTATTATTTTTAAACGTTACCATGATTATCGTACATTTATATATCTCATTATTTTAGTTTATGCCGTACAAACTTGGCAGCTTTTAAATAAAACAAATAACGAAGGATATAGTTAATAGAATATTTCTTATTTTTATTTTTTTTATAAAAGTTGCTCTGGCAGACTAGTGTTACCACCAGTCCGCGCAATTTCGTCATCGCAACAAGAATTTGATCAGGGGAGATCATTTACCTCTTGGTAAGTTGTAATAAGCAATTTTTGTCGATAGTGTGTAGAGCACGACATCTACTTTGTCTTTACACATTTCACTTCGAGTCCTATCAAATACTATGTCCTCTAGTTTCAAGATTTCAAGTACTTCAGTAAAAAAGTGATAATTGAAAATTGTCAAGGTATCACGCACGGATGTATGATAAAATGTTATTTCTCTTTACTAATATGTCATTATCACTGATTAATAGCTGAAAAAATGACGATACAACAAAAAACACAGTAAACATTCAATACTGTCGCTTACAATAAAAGCAACGGGTATCGCCCCGAAAATACTTGGTAATCCTAGTAATAATACTATAACAAGCAAATTGTGAAACGAATACATTGAAAACTTCAGTTTCAGTGAATTTTAATCTCATATGCGTTAAGAGATGGAAACAGAAACATATATACATGATTTCATATCAATTGATATATATGTATGTAGATATATTTCAGAAATTATTTCTATATTAAATTTATAAATTTCAAATAATCTTGTGATAACTTATACAATATTTGTTCGATCTAATAATAGTTAAATAGAATCCAGCTTTTTTTTGCTACGTTTAAATTATTTTGTCTTTTATATTCTATTATTTCATTGATTAAGTTAAAATCAACAAAGTTTATTTGTAGTTTCTTTTTTTATCTGTATATAAAAGAAGAAAGGCATTACTGCACATTGCAGAAATAAATGTAATCACGTTCACATTATCAGACGATTCGAGTTTTGCAATGCAAATTTTTTAGTGATTCTTTATCTTTTCATTTTAACACGTTCGTACACATCACAACAAAATTAAATATTCTCGTACAATGAAAAATCCCGTTATGAAATACCGATATCGTGTCTGTTTTATTGATGAGAGATACATAAAGCAAAGATTTATCTTTGTTTCTATCATTATTTATTTTTAATTGTAAATATACAACCCTGCAGAGTACTACCTTAGAAAACATACAAAACGTGTCAGAATATTCAACTGTACGTTTTTTCAACTATTATATTTTTTTCTACTTCAGTAACAGTATAATCGATTGCTAAAAAGTAAAAGCTGAGAAGAGTAGATTATATTTGTCTTTCTTCGAAATAAATAAATCAATTTGTTTTTTAATTGAATTCGACGTAAAATACATTGTTGAAATAAAATATTTCTAAAAGAAATTTACTTTTCTTCTTTATTATTCTAGATAAAATTAACAAATCGAACAAATTTGATGGTTAGTTACGAGAACAATCAACACTTTTTAACGAATTCTAAATGAATCATTTTTTTTCAATATTTAGTCTGGTTCAGAGTCTGAAAACATTATTAAAGAATCTAATCGTCCACGAACAGGATTGTAAGTATTTGATTTATTTATATTCGAAATATATCTATATCATTCTAGATCATTATTTCATAGAAAAGCAATATTGCTTTTAATTATCATTGTCGTTCTTTTCATGATAACTATCATTAGTATTACAATGTGGGCTATTTTCCTTAAAAAGGTCGAAACAACAATGAATGGTAAAGTTTTGATATAGAAGAAAAAATAAGAATTGAAACATTTTTTGAGTCCAAAAAAAAATAAGCTTCGCATACCAATTCCAAATTTGTTGGTCATTTACGCATCCATATTTTACCTAATGATATATGAAATTATATAGTAGTCCAAAAATAATCAATAATTAAATAGAGAACAATTATGTTCTATTTTTGACAGTTTTGAGGCGAGTATGTTAGAAAAACGACCTTCAGCCATACTCACACCCTAAATGATAAAATTTATTTTTAACTGAAATCTTTATTCATTTATTTTATTTTAAACAAATTTTTCAATTGAAATCAATTCTTTTTTTCTTTAGTGAAAAACAGATTTTCTTCTTTTCATCGAAGTTTTTTTTTCATCATATTCTAGAACCGAAACTAAACAAATGGAAACAAAATGCCATCACTGTAGCTGGTGGAAATGAACAAGGACAAGAATTAAATCAACTCAATGGCCCTGCAGGAATCTTTATTGATAAAAATAAAAATATTTTCATTGCTGATTATGCAAATGATCGTATTGTTGAATGGAAATATAATTCAACAGAAGGAAAAATTATTGCAGGTGAAAATAAAGAAGAAAATCAAATCGATGCATTATACGGTCCAACAGATGTGATTGTTGATGAACAAAATCATTCCA